TGGGGCTTTCAAATAAAATATGCTTAGTTATTTTGTGCGATTTATTCAATTTTAACAGTTATAATAAGTTTTTTACTTTCTTTCAGTCAACTTTATTTTTCCACTTGGTTTGATAGCTACTCCAGTGTCATTTATTTCCTTCTGATAGTTCCATAGATTTATCCATGTTTACATAAGAGCTACGTTGAAATACAAAGAAATGTTAATAATTTCATCATATATCAATGTAGTTTAATCAACATAATTTAGAGTAAAATTAGTAGGTAGTAGGTTATTTTATAGAGCTATGGTTTATCATTCTTTAGATTTCATGTGATTTTACATTTAAACTATTTATTAATGTGTAATATATAATGTATTTTTTTCCTACAGAATTTTTCACGAAATTCTTTTTATTATGTTTATATTATATTTTTGTAATCCTAAATTAGTTTGAACATAAAACCACAAGAATAACATACTTATGTTAATAACCTGTTACATCAAAACTCCAAAAAATAACGTTTCCTAATTAATGTAAAATCAATTATACTTACATAGAAAAATTGCAAAAAGTACCTAATAACAAAAAAATCACGTTTGAAACAAACTCCTATCACGCACACGCAACATTTATCAATAAAATAAAAAAAATATTATAACAATAAAAAATGGAATGTCTTGGACCGGGAATTTGTGATGCTTAGTACACTATAAGTAATACTTTAAAGTTTAATTTAATATAATAGTAAAATTAGTATTAGTTTATATTATAGACTCTTCCAAGTTTGTCCTTTTAGGAGCAATACTGTTAAACATAAATTACTTATTATTTGTCAAACAAAACTTTCACTATAGACTCACATTCACAAAATCACTATTCAAGTACCTAATTTGACTAAAATAACATCAATCACAAAATATTTTAAAGTAAAGATAATAAAAATTACCTCCATTATTAAAATTGTGTATACACTTAACAGTAATTAAAATTATTAATAGTCTCAAAACCGTTTGGAGTTCTATGTTGAATGCTTAATGATTGTGAACGAACTACACAATCATTAAGCTAGCTACACTTCACATCAAAAACTCTAGCAGTTATCGAGATAAATTACCAGTAACCTGTAAAATAATACAAATATCTCTCAAAGTGTAAAATGAATACAATTTATTTTATAATAATTATTAGCTCAATAGAATTTTTAAAACGACAACAAAATTTATAGCTACTTATTTCACCAAATAATGAGATAATTAAATTTCCGAAGTTGCAACACCAGTTAAATTTAAGATATTGAAAAGAAGAATCGAGTGCCGCCTGCACCACAACCTAGTTAACTTGTCCTTCACTACTACTTACTAGTATTAAATTCAATACTATTATTATTATTTTCACTATATCGTATCTGAATTCCTTACACGTCTTATTCTAAAGATGCAGGTAAAAGTCGCGGGGGACAAACGCACAATGAATGTAGGTCGGTCAGTTGACAAAATATTTAAGTCTTTTACACACTTACTTACACCTGGATAGGATGAGGTGTAAATAAATATGCTCGAGTGGTTATCGAGGAACAACAACTCTTCGAAATAGAAGTCACTACTCTCACACGGCATGATGTAACAAGTCATCAAACATCTATGGAACATTTGATAACTTGCCACAAACAAGCTCCGATACGAGTGCAGTATGACAAGTTTTGCAGTTCCCCGATAGTGTCTTACGCATAACTTATCTAATTGTTTATTTACAAAATATATACAGCGTACAATGCGACCTGAGACGGTGATTTATTTGTATTAGATGCTATCGTTCGTATCGGACGCGGAAAGCAAGACATTTCGTTTCACGAAACAGTGCGGGTGTCTACAAGGAGGGAAGCTCCATGCCGACACGGCAGTGTTCCGTGACATCATCAACTAAGTCGATGACGTCATCGAAACGAAACTCCTCCGCACACAGCGTTCGAAACGAAAGAAGTAAGCTACGGTGAACAAATAAACAACCCAAGTCATTTTAAAAGTCTTCAATACTCGATGGTGATATTGAAAACTATGACGTGTCACTAAATCGCATTGAACAAGTAAGTACCCACTCACAGTTCGACCAATCGTAATCATTACTTCACTGTCCTGAAGTTAAACTCAAATAACGAAGCGAATCGTGCATATAGTTGCCCAGACATTGGTTTGTTTTGCTTCTCACACTTAACATGAGACACAAACCCGGCAGATGGCGACACCAGTCTAGGCATGCTACTCACTTCGCAGCAGAGGTCGATAAAACTAATATATATAATAAATTATCAAGTCTTAACTATCAAAATATAATATTTGCAACTGATGAAACTTATTGAAATTGATTCGTACATAAAATATGCGAATAATTATAACTTTAATAATATACTTACACAAATGACTTTGGCACACAATCAAATGAGCAACCGTTTATGTACACAATTAAATAATTAAATATATCTATCTACAGAAGATTTTACAAAAACTTGCCAGTTGAATGATTTCAGTAAAATCTTCTATTGATAAAAAAATAAAGCAGTTTATTGCTTCAATAAAAATATAATAATAATAATATATTTTAACAAAAGTAAATCACAGTAACTTTTAACGATTATAGCTAAAATAAGTACTGGTACTTTTAAATTAGTTTTCTTTGTGTCATAAGAGATCATGTTATGGACAACGTAAATCTACTTTTTATAATGATATAAATAAACTAATATAACTAACTTATTAAAAAATGTATGTGATTATTACGCAAAGGATAAAACGAATATGTTTATTGCAAAACAATAAACGACAGCTCTTTCTGTCTCTTTCACGATCAATGTCTTGTTAAGGTGCAAAGAGCGAGAGAGAAGAAGGGCATGCATAGATACTTAACAACAACTTCGTGAGTTTACTGTTTTGCAACAAAAACATTCATGATCCAATACATAATTGTATGATGAGATGAATAAAATCATTAAACAATGATTGACATAAATAAAAAAAAACTAGTCGGTATAGAAAAAAAAGCAACTAGTTTTGTACAATGACATGGTCGGGAATCAAACTAGCTACCTTTACAATGGCAACGCCGAGTGCAAAGTCGCCATTGAGAAAACAGCTTTCAAAAATTATCCACATAAAAAAGCGAGATGTAACGTTTCCATAACAATAAGGATAATATGCAGACATTCCGTCATCAAAAAACCAACTATCGCTGTCCTTTTCACACGCGTTAGCGCAAGTGAAAAGGATGCGAGAAGTTGAGTCGACGAATATTCGACATAATACCATCGCAGATCTCAATATCACAAAGAAGGTACTTACACCACTTGCTTAATGCACGAACCAGATGCCGAACTGCTTAATTATGTTGTTGACACGATAATATGTTATCTTTCATTAGATAAGTACTGTCAGGGATGATTTTTCGAAATAGCAATAATTTTCCACTAACTAACCTTTTGCATGCTTTTTGATTTACAAACACCTATAGCAGAAAACAAATCAATTTGGAATTATTAAGTGGTTAATTTTCTGTGATAGTGACAAAAGGCAACACTTTGCTGTTATTTCACTTGGCTATTCGTATGTGTTATTTGTAAACTTGACCATTTTACAAATAGCAAATACGAATAGCAAAGTGTAGTGTCGGCATTAGAGGTTATTGCTATTTCATAAATTACTCTTTGGTCGGGTGTTTGTGTCTGATCAAAGTTAGCAGCAGTATACTCAGCTGCTTCATGCTTGCCTTATTTAGCCAACAATATTCACACATTCTTTTAAAGTTGTTTTTTGCAGATGGAATGCAGTATTCTGTCAATGTTTATATGATAGAGTAGCGTGAATATTGTTTAGTTAAAAAGATAAGCAGTCAATAATCCTATTAGTATTTCGTCAATATAAGGTAGAGTGCGATTCAAACTTAATGACGGCTGTGAAGTTGCCGCAAATTCCCAGCGCAGCAAAGGAAATGTCCGATGAAATGCAATATCGTTTATTCAGTTTAGGATGTTAGAAAGACTTATAAAGAAAGTCGAAAAGCTCCGCCATCTGTTTCGGAATCTACGGCAGAAGACCTTATTAACTACACAGCCGCCATAAAGTTTGAATCGCAGTATAGTAATCGTCCATTAATGAACGGGTCGAAACGTTTGTCAAGAAATGACTGTTTATGGTAGTAGTCGTTTGTCAACAAATTACTGTTTAAGGTAGTATCGGTAGTCGTTTCCTAACGAATGGATGTCTAACGTGGCAGTCATTAAATAGCTATAATACTAGGACTTCGCGTGGCTACTCACATTTGCTGTATGCAAACTTGACAGCAGGATATCCTAATCATGCTCTTTAGGGGATGAAAAGGAGAGAGTGCTGTCCAGTTTACAAACAGCAAATACGAACAGTCATGTGAAGTGGTTCCAGTATTATAGAACTGTCATTCGTCAACAAATGACTGTTTTATGCAGCAGTCATTCGTCAACAAATCCCTGTTAAATGCACCAGTGGTTTGTCAATAAATGACTGTAAAAGGCAGTAGTCGTTTGTCGACGGATGACTAAACAGGCCCACGATACAGGTACCCATTGCAGGATAGATTTGCAATGGGTTGCTCTAGTTGGGCGAGCACAACGTCTATTCGTTAACAAACGACTGTTTAGAGGTGGTAATTGTTCATTTACTAATAACTGTTTAAGGCAACAGCTGTTCGTCAACAAATGACTGTTATACAGTAGTCATTTGTTAATAAAATACTGTTTTACGTAGTAGTCAGTTTGTCAATAAACCCATGACACGTAGGTCCCACGCCCACCCCAGTTGGGCGAGGGTGTCGTCTATTCATCAACAAACGACTGCTTGAAGGTGGTAATTATTCATTAACAAATGACTTTTTAAGGCAACAGACATTTGTCAACAAATTACTGTTTAAGGCAACAGACATTTGTCAACAAATTACTGTTTAAGGTAACAGGCGTTTGTTCACAAACGACTGTTTACAGGTAGTAGTCAGTTTGTCAATAGACCCACGAAACGGGCACCCATTGCGGAGTGGACCGCAGACGGGCTAATGCCGCCTCTAGTTGGGCGAGAGTGTCGTCGATGTCGTTGTTGACGATGTTGAGGTCGAAGCAGTGGCCGTAAGTTCGTCGCAGTTGTTCCGATTCGCGCACCAGTACTTCTAGGGAGCCGTCGTACTGAAAGAAAAAAAAATTTTTAGATTATTATATATTTCTGTATACATTTTTTAAGCAATTAACTGTTAGAATTATAAATATAAAGAAAATTTTACAAGAAAAATTTCACGCGGTCTATGCAGCAGACGAGACTCGAACGTGGGTCCGAGTCTCGTCTGCTGCTCCCTACGCTATCCCTGCGTACGCACTGATCAATTATCCTACCGCGAGCTTAATGGGCGTGTCCAATTCTTTCCTAGTATTACTTAGTCTGCTTTCAATAACAATGACACCACCAAATAAAAGTATCTCTTTAACCCAGATATCTTCTTTTAAGAAGCCCAATTAGATTCAAATTACTAATGTCTCAGACAGATTGCGCGCATGGTTAAAGGTCATAACTTCGGGATAATAGACGAAAGCTGCGAATCCAAGTATTGGGTGATCAAAAACTAATATTATCTCAAGTTCCTTTGTACTTCGGAAGGCACATTAGGGTTGGTCGCGGCTGCTTCAGAATCGTTAACGCTCCTACCAATCTACACCAGTGCGTGGTTTGTTACGACTCGTTTTCAACTTTCAAAACATTTGCCCCGCCTGGATTCAGAGTAGGCAATACCTTGATAACATATCACCCTAACATGACGATGATGATTAGTGAGTAATCACATCGACCGCTCAGGAGCTTCAGCGTTTGATGACATCGTAGTGGCCACATTTACACACAAAGTTAATGGGGAAGAAAATCACTAAGTCTTGTCAAGAGATAGCGCTACTGGCGGTGCACTCAATAGTATAAAAAGCCTGCATCGCGCTAGTGAAATTCGGAGGCTAACACATAATATATACGCTGCCTGACCAACATCGGTCAGACTGCACAGCTAGCACCAATTCTCGGCTTGAGGTCCCCTTAGGATCTCGCCGTCCCCAAACCCGGTGACGCTGTAAAGGTCATCTGCGACCAACAGCCTACACACTCAAAAAAAACAGACGGCGAACCAATAATGTACTGTATTCTTAGCACGAACCAATATCGAATTCGATACGTTTGCGAGTGCGAAGTGTCATTGTCAAATTTAGTATGGAAATATGAACAGTAGCGCCACAACGGACGTCACGAGAACTTAAAATCAGTACACATTTGACGTATATCTAGGTTCGATAATGAATTCGATAATGGTTCGTGCTAAGTGTACCGATACTAGTACATCGCTCGGTCAGTACTCACGTCGGCCACGTTGTTGAGCGGCGCCGCGGCGATGAACACCACGTAGGGCGCGAACTCCGAATCTTGAGCGCTATAATGACATTATTGTGTTGTGCCTAGTAGATCGCTCGGTCAGTAATCATGTCGGCCATGTTGTTGAGCGGCGGCGCGGCGATGAACACCACGTAGGGCGCAAACTCCGGATCTTGAGCGCTATAATGACATTATTGTATTATCGCTAGTACATCGCTCGGTCAGTACTCACATCGGCCACGTTGTTGAGCGGCGGCGCCGCGATGAAGACCACGTAGGGCGCGAACTCCGCCGTGCGCAGGATCTTTAGCGCTTGCGGTTCAACGTCCAATATGGCGATACGCCGCTCCGAGTGGATGCGCCGGATGGTCTCCAGTTTGGTACCGTACATTGCGTCCTCGTGCGTTCCTGTACGTTTCAATCATAAATAAATAAATAAATATTTCTAACGATAAATAATAGAAATACTCGTGTTACATAATAAAGAAATATATCACTTATATTATCGAGGCGAAAGTTTGTGAGTGTGTATGTTTGTTACTTCTTCACGTTTGAACGGTAGGGGCGATTTTAATAAAATTTGGTATGGAGTTAGCTGACACCCTGGATTAACACATAGGCTACGTTTTACTGCGGGAAAATACCTTATAAACCGCGGGTAACACTGCGGGGCACAGCTAGTAATATATAAGTAGACAAGACTCAGGTACAAAAAGCTAATATTTATTATACAATAATTTCAACTATCGAGATTCTCAGTAGGCCACACCTTAGAAGCCGGTGTACATATCACTCACACCGCGGAGGTCGTCAATCATACTCTAACCGCCGTTCACAGAAACGTCGATTGAATTTAATATTGGATTATGTCCCATGCGGTCTTTAATGCTTAATTGAGTAACGTGTCGTCTCCTTCTATTACTATAGCAAAGAAAGTGACCGCATCATCAATTTTTTGATGATCAAACTCAAAGATCGATCGACTTTTTTGAGCGCGGCCGTTAAGAGAATAGACTGAACAAAAAGTGAAAAGCTGAGATAATATTTACGCGATCTAGAAAGAGAAAAAGTCAGTTCTCTGTCTAAGTGAGATATAGTTATATAGTTAATATTACCGTGTAACAAATGTAAACATCAGCATAGCTTCAACTGTTAGTATGTAACATTTTGAGAAGCAACATTTTTTGTAGCCTATCGTAATACTTGTTGATTTATCAAGATCATAATAAATAGGTGATTCAAATCAAATTTATCGCTTACCATATTCCAAGTATTCGTTAGCAGCAATATCGGCCATCATCTCTTCGTGGGTCACGAAGTAATAATGTCTCCCATTCTCCTCGTCCGCTCTTGGTGGTCGTGTAGTGTCTAAAACATTCAAACAAATAATGACAATGAATCACCATTACAGATCACAAATAAATGAGGAGCTGGCGAACAAAACGGTATAATAACATAAAATTAATATATACAGGAGCTGTATAAAACTGAATGACATACCTACAGTGAGGTTTTGGCGTGGTTTTTTTATTTATAAATTTAGTAATTTAACACTGTTTTAGGTAGTTTTGATTGAAAATTATTTGAGATTCAAATTCAACGGGCCCGAAACTTCCGGACTGTAAAAAAAAGTAGATTGACCAGATGCGTAATTATACCGTTTTGTTCGCCAGCTCCTCATATAACTTCATGATACTAACGTAATAATAAATAGGTTTCAAGGTTATTTGCGGAATTAGATTAGATTTAAAATAATTTTATACTAGAAGTGTAAGCTTAAGAGATACCCAAGGTACTTTGCATTACTTCCTTTTACACTAAGTTACCACAAATCGCCAAATCTTTTGGATAATTTTGTCAATTTAGTGTGACTTTCTTCAACTGTGGCTTGACCATTTATAAGCTTATATCAGTCCTTTGTTGCATCCATTAATTTAGTGGTAAGAATCTATATATGTATATAAAACTCAAAGGTGGCTGACTGACATAGTGATCTATCAACGCACAGCCCAAACCACTGGACGGATCGGGCTGAAATTTGGCATGCAGGTAGATGTTAAGATCCGCTAAGAAAGGATTTTGATCAATTCTACCCAAAAGCGAAGCGAGTGCGGGCCACTAGTCAAGTATATAGAGAAATTTTCAGTCGAGCAATGGGGACTTCAACCATCTGATGATGTTATAATATTATAATAATTTATAGAATTCACTCACGGGGTATGGGATAGGCGTACTGATCAGGATGACGCGCGATCAGCGTGTTCTTAATATGGCGGCGTCCAACGCCATGTGCGCCTAGAAGCACTATTGTTTTTCGTTGGAAAGCTGAAAAATGAGAAAAATATTCTTTAAAACCTCTTTTAGAAATAAACAACGAATTATTGTTATTGTAAACAAGCAGTCCCAGCGAACTTCGTACCGCCATCGCCATAAAGTATCATAAAAAAAACGACGGGTTACACTCCGGGAGTGCCGGCAGAAGTGAAAACTTGAATATTAACGTTATGCATTTTTGATATATATTGGAACGTTTAAGCGCACCTTGCGACATCTATTGTACAAAAAATGCATTTAATTCGAAATAAAGCTGCCACGTGGACGTCCTAGATAGAGACTTATTATTATAATACGATAAAATAAAATAAAATATTACTATGTTTCGTCCAATATATTGAAAGTCAACAACCTTTCCAATTTTATTGTGTGTCATGATGCGATCAGCCCACGCCTTTAACCTGACGCGAGTTTAACATTTTTACCCACACACAAAAAAGTGTACAACGCCGCTAAAGAAGTTTTCACTTCAAAAAAATAAAAACAATTAATTTAAGGGTGGACCACCCTTAACATTTAGGGGGATGAAAAATAGATGTCCGATTCTCACACCTACTGAATATGCATATGAAATTTCACGAAAATCGATGGAGCCGTTTCGGAGTAGTTCAATTACGCACACCGTGACACGAGAATTTTATATATTAGATGTAAAATTATTTAAATTAATTGCTTAAATCACAATCGATAAGTGAAGTAAGTTCTTTCGAACATACAAGTGCGTTCTTAGTTCCACTACGTTTAAGACTTGGAGTACAAGTTTATCCAATGACAATAGTATTGCGTTATAAAGTATAGCTAGAAGCCCAAACAATATAGTAAAGCGTGGTATGAACGTGTTCTATGTAAATTTATGGGGCGCGATATCGTACTATGAGTTATAAGCTAATGCTATATAAGCACTATAGTGTAGTCTGAACGCACATTTATGTTCCAAGTAGATTTCTTAGAACTTTACTTACCGATTGTTTAACAGGACCTTAGTATTCTATTAACATGAAAAAGGGAAAAGCATACCTATGAATTTCAATACCTTTAAATTTCTAATTCAATTCAGCGAAAATTAGCAAAATATATAACTGCACTGACTAGTACTTAATTTATAATTTTTATTATTTTAAAGCATGTAACTGCTTGATGTTTAAATGTAAAGAAACTATAACTAGAAAAATATTCACGCGGACCAGGCAGCAGACGGGACTCGGGAGCTTAAGAATGGCCGCGGTAGCATAATTGGTCAGTGCATTCGCCCGGATTGCGAAGGGTGCGGGTTCGAGTCCCGACTGCTGCCTGGTCCACGTGAAAAAAAAAATCTAGTTATATTTTCTTTAGTACTTACCCATTTTAATGGGTGTGGAACGGAACAAAAAGAAATTATGTTTGCCTTGTCGGCCTCAACCCCATTCCTTTTTCTCGCGGCGCTCTGCCAAACCTCAATCATATAGTGTCATTTGGCAGTATTATAAGAGTTAGAAGTTAATTGCCTTCTAAATGTTTCAATTTCAAGAAGTTGACTATCACCTACAAGTCTTTAATATACTTAGATGATATGATAGTTACTAACATGGTAGTTTAACGACCTCTTCGTAGGTGACCACGTCAAGTTGATCGAACACCGCATTGTGCTTCGCCAAATACTTGTCTTTGGGCTGCTTCTTCTTGCGCCCAAATATGGAACAGTTCACTGCAACAAACGCCGTCATTTATTAAGAGATGTGAGGCAAGAAGCATCTATAGAAAAACAACGTATCTTACTCTCGTTCATCTAAGTTTTGATTTTGTGACGACATCCGTGGCCGAGTGGTTTATACGCCGGGTTTCATGGTGTCGCCGACACGAGAGGTCCTGCATTCGAATCCCGATAGGGGCAGATGTTCGTGTGATGAATACGAGCATTTGTACTCCAGTAATGGATGTTTAATATGTATTTCTATATAAATATACTTATATATGTACAATATATATATTCTATCCGTTACCCTAGTATCCCATAACACAAGCCTCACAGTGCTTACTTTGTGTCTACGCTAATTGGTGTGAGTGTTGGAAATATTTATTTATTTATGGTGAATTTATCTTTTATCTCTGAATATTTGAAATAATAATCGAATGGTTTTAAATGCAATATTAAATATTAATTAACTTGGTACCTACCGAGTTTAAAATTAGACATTTGATTAACCAATTAGTAGTGGTATAACAAAATAAGCTTGAGAATTCGAATATTTGTCAGCTACATAATACTCTGTACAAACATTCGAATTCTCAATTTTAAATTGAGTTTTCATGACGATTATGTTTTATCAACTTATCAATCTCATCCGAATGAAATATGAACATTTTTACGATAGTAAGAGGCATTTTTGGATTAAAACAAAAATTGCAGCCGGTAATAAGTTCAGTTTATTACCGTCTGCAACTTTTGAAATTATAAAACAATTTTACTCTTCAGGTTAGATGACATGTTACTTTTGATTTAATTTCCAAAATATTTGAATGTTTAAATGTTACCTGTGTTTTCGCATCCTTCGGTATGGGAGACGCATCCTTCGGCTCCTAGCGGCACAACATTACAACACAGTCATGCAACGCAATGGAATGGTATGGTATATCACTACTAGTCATATCATTTGGGGCACACGCAGCTTGGAAATGTTTTGTCAATACTTTTAGTTGCATTTCAATTAACATATTATTTGAAACAACAATTTGGTTTATCTAAGTTTAATATATTATTAATATGACTAAAAACTTAGATAAACATATTCAACATCTCTATTAAGTTGTGACAGTTATATAAACATCAACAAAACATTTCTGAATCAACATTACAATTACTAGGGTTACACAAACTCCCTTTGTAAATACGTCTATCGGATAAAGATCTAAATACTCAACAATTTCACTACATAGAATATATAGTGATAATACTGAGGATTAAATGTAAGAAGTCATATCAAGGTTAGGAAATTTCACAAGTTTTGTAGATATGGTTCAAGTTATGGTTTAAGACCATGCAAAGTTTTCCAGTGGGTTAAATTTAGGTCTCAAATACTCAAACATACGCGGGAGCTTGTATTACTCACGATTACAGAAAAAAAGCAATTTTACATACCGACTGCAGGTTCATCCAATGACAATGTTTGAAAGCAAAATCGAAGATGTTAATGTTTTAACAACAATGGTACCTCGCAAATTATGAATAATGGAACCGATAGAGCAATTCGTTTGTGAATGAAATAAAACTGAATAATCCTTTGTCCGAATCAGCAATTTGGCAAAGTAAAGAGAAATGATATTGCTGAAATGTAGTGGTTTTTGAGTAAGGAGTAGGTATTGATTAGAATATAATATAATGTAACATACACTAACACTGAACTAGATAATAAATTATAACAAACTTAACGTAAAATAATAAGTTATACACACACACAAAGAAATAACTAGGACACAATATTATACCTACATATATTTTACATATATACTAATTTACCAAATTAAAGGTAAACCAACAAAAAAGTAAATCATTAACCAAACCATCATGACCGAATATCATAAGATTAAAATTAAATAACATACACAAGGAATTTTAACACAAAAACATAATAACACAAAATGTACACGTATTGCTGATAGCGAGTGATTCACTAATTTAGCAACATAAAGTCACAGTAAGAGTTTTTCAAAGCTGCGATGGGAAATATTGAAAACTCATTTTAGTTGACCTATCGCTTATAAACATAAAAATCCACTTATGGGAAATTTCATTTCGTTAATTTCTGATGTGATTATCTTAAATTTATCCTCTTTGATACCTCAAACAAAATATTCCGGTTTTTAATGTAACATTTCGGTTTACCGCAGCAATTAAAACCCTTATGAAGCGACATAGTAATGTGTTGGGTAGTAACCTTGATCGGTGGTAGATCTTTCGGCAGCGGCGCATGCGGCACGCCACTCTTGCAGCTCGGGGCTGGGAATAAGGCCAGCTGATCCACCGGCAGCGTCTTTACGTGCTTGCCACCAATGAGAGTCATCTTTGCTAATGATCTGGAAGAATTTAATTTTACTTTGACGACATCGTTAACGCATCTGATAATAGCATCTAACATTGCCTTGTTTTCGTGGCTGATGGAAACCGATTGGACAGGATTTAAAAGGTATTATGCATAGAAATTTTGTCTAATTATTTTATTATGAAAACTTTTAAAGACATTAAAGAAACAATTTGTTTAAGGATATTGTAATGATTTTGTACTTACCTGAAGGATGTCGCCGGTGTTGAAGGCGATGCCAGCTTGTGCGCAAGGTATGAGCTCATCCTCCAGGGGATCATAATCAAATTGAGCTCTCACGAAGATCTGAAATGGTGCATTCCCATTTATAACAACAGCTATTAGCCTAGTTGTAGAATCGCAACTGTTACATTAGTATGACGATGCACTGCCAGCACAATTTTAACATACGTGCAATATTGCACAACAAGCAGATGCGATCTACGCATTCCAGCTGGTGGGAAAGTCGACGAAACGGTTAAGCATGATGAGAATGAAATGGCCGATAGTGTGATCAATAATAAAGTTCGTTATAATGATTTCGATGTAGATGATCATGATATGAATGATTATGATGATATATGTCATGTTTATCGATTGATTAATGAAGTGTGAAGCGATGGTTAAGAACAACAAGCGCACAGAAACGGAAAACGCGGGGTCGCGTTGCCATGCCCGAGTGAAGAAACATAAACACAACAAAAAAATGGGTAACAGGACGACATAGTAGCATAGGTCTGGTCTCGCTACTTACTAGCACGGGCGAAGGCTTTATCCGGAAAAGCTAGTTAGAACAAAAATACAATTTTTAAATTCTGATATTAGTTACAACCAATCTGTGTTATGCTTTAATGACAAGCATTTAGAAAATTTGTGTGCGCTTGTCGACTTCCATTAACTGTTGTTTTAGTTAAGTACTGTATTGTTTAGAAGCAAGCGTTTTGTTTTCCTGTGTGATGTTAAATATCAAACTGTTAGTTAATCTAGATTTTTCAAATGCTTTTACTATTCTAACAAGGTCTTATTAAACAACTAATCTCAAATCTACTTATAGTCAAAACAACACACTCTACAAAAGTAGTTAGAGCAAATTTTCTACAAATCAAACGTAAAATTTCACAGATTCCAAATGAAAGTGTACCTCGCACGGCGGAGGAGCTGACCGGTAGGATGGAACGATCTTAAATGTCACCGAACCTCGAGCCTCGCGCTGAAAAAAGAAAGAAGAAAGGCTGAAGATACAAAAACATGACATTTCTAATGGCTAATTAGTTAGATCATTGGCATATAAGTAACAAAAACAGTACCCCTAGCACGAACCATTATCGAATTCAAATAGTTTGCAAACCGAAATGTAGATGTCAAATTTTGTATGGAAACTTGAACAGCAGCGGCACAAAGTACGTAACGAGAACTAAAAATCAGTACACATTTGACAATGACATTTCGGACTCGCAAACGATACGAATTCGATATTAGTTTGTGCTAGGGGTACAGTACCCCTAGCCCACCTACTTTGTTGTTTCCATACAAAATTTGACATTGACATTTCGGTTTGCAAACTATTCGAATTCGATAATGGTTCGTGCTAGGGGTACAGTTATATAAAGTTTATTTTTGACAGATCGGAGGAGGACTGATCTGTTCGGTGGAGCAAGCGGATTTAATAAACATAGTCGTAGATCAACGCGAATAGTGCAGGATTTTATTATTGCATTTGCTATGTAACAAAATATTAATTTTTGAACCGTTAACTGCTTTTGATTTTATTTTACGGTATTAGGGAAATTAAACACGGGCTCAATAAATTTTATATTATTTCAGTACATAATTTTTAATCTTTTATAGGTACTCGATGGATAATACAATTGTTAGTATTGTTCGAAGAAGGATTCGAGGAAGGAGGAGAAAGGACGAAGGACCCAAAGATATTGAGATAGTCTAATCTATATTAATATTATAAAGCCGAATAGGTTGTTTGTTTGATTGTTTGGTTGAACGCGCAAATCTCAGGAACTACTGATTCAAATAAAATTGATTTTGTGATAGGCTATACAATATCATGATAAGACTAATAGGAGCGGCGCATCAATGAAAAAAGTTGCGAAAACGGGAAATAAATATTCCTTTTCAGAGATTTCGTTGCGAGCGCTGCATAAATAGTTACTGTTACACAAAAATCATCAATCATGTATGACGGAATTGTTCCCCTTTTAAAGTTTTATAAAAAAGTCCGCGACAGTAATGTCCATGTTTTAAGTTTGGTTCACTATAACGCTCAGTTTATAAAAATAAGCTCCATAGGCCTGCTACAAAATTGTCTTTAGCAGCTAAAAACACTTTTATTATGTGCATTAAAATTTACAATAAATTACCAGACAAGTTCAAAGAACTAAAACTTTTTAAATTAAAAAAAATACTTAAGGATTGGCTTCGCCAAAAATGTTTTTATAGTATCCAAGAGTATTTAGAATATAAGTAGAAATATTCAAATGGTTCTTATACGTACAAAATGTGTATACACCTGAAAAGGTAGGATCAAATGGCACTGTACATTAGCATTAAGACCTGTATTTTCATGTTACCTTGTTCCATACACAATAAAGATTTATTATTATTATTATTATTAACCTTTTCCCTCAAATTAACTTCATTCATCGACTGTTAGGCGGCACGAAGTTCGCCGGGTCAGTTAGTACTGATGTGCAAAGGACAACTTATGTGACTGAAAACATTTAATTTTTAGTAGCTCATTCTGTTCGTACTACAGAATGAAGCATAACGGCAGACAATGTGGGGCCCTAAATTCTTAATAAGCGAGAAATCGGCTAATCAGTAAACAGCATGAAAACTTATTACTTTACTTATTTTTATGGCAAATCTTCAATTTGTTGCAATCTTTGGTCTAATGTTAGCATTGCCGTCTTTATATTTAATTTCCGCATGATCTAAATTGAAAATAGTTCAAAATTAATGAAAATAGTCAAACTATAAAAGATTACTTACAATTTCTTGTCGAAGGAATTATATTCTAAACAAAGATCGGCTAAGGGACCGATTGTTGATTGTAATCTCATTGTTTAAATTATAAGCATTTTTCAAAAATTTATTTACTGTAGAGTAATGAACTCGTTGTGTAGTTACATTATTGCAGTTAAAATGCTAAAAATATTTTATTTTGCCATAAAAATAAGTTTTCGTGTTTTTTACTGAGATAAATATATCTTGGTAGCAACGGCGATCAAAACTGTGCATGGCCCAAATTTAAACTGAGCTAATATTCAGACCATTAGCCCTTCTCCCAACTTTATGAATCGCATGTTTTTTCCAGACACAGAAAAACATAGGTGTTTTAATCTGGTTGATGGTCATTATTCACCATAAGTATTTTATTTGTCCACCGGGACGCGCTTTGTTTTATTGTATTTTCTCTATTCATTCGCCTCGCACTCGCCGCAAAGTACACATACATAGCCACAGTTTACAGACTATGAACTACTGTCTAAAATCTCCAACCGTCTTTTAAAATTAGTGATCGCTGACAAAGTTCAACAATATAAAGTTTTATTTTGGTTTTATTGGATGGTATGGGCTACAGTTGTCTGATTTTTTTTTATTAGTAAGATTGTCATTTATCTATGAGTTACGTACTGTTATTGAAAATTAAATTATTTTTTAAAGAAATTGAAGTTATTTATGCATATAAATCCGCAAAGCTTTTATCCTAAACAACAAATGCTAAAAATTGATGGGGGGAGGGGAGGTGGAATGCATACAGATTTGCTTTTGACATCACTGTTAAATTCGCCAATGCCGCTTAAAAGATTACAAAAAATTCAATATAGAATTAAGTTCCGTAAATCATAAGCAAATATTATACAATTATACAACGTAACACTGTAGGTCCAAGATGGCCACCGCTACTAAATGGCGGATTACATAGCATCATTTTGAAACCAAGATGGCCGCTGTTACAAAATGGCGGATTACATAGCATCATTTTGAAATCAAGATGGCCGCTGTTACAAAATGGCGCTTTAAATATTATTTCTCAAACCCTTCAATAGGAATATTAAATGAAAGGTATTGACTTATACAATGCTGCCCACTATGACAGTTTCAAAACAAAGATATTTTTAAATAAAGTAAGTTTAAAAAATCAAACAGTTACATTAAAAACAAAGATAATCACATGATTATCTTTGTTTTTAGCTAGCTGTCATCATCATCATAGTAGATAAATCTACTAAAAGCAAAAAAATAATTCAGTAGGTCCTATATAGGTATCAGTCATCATACCACTTTCGTCATCTATCTAGTGCATTGATAAGTTAAAAAATAAAATCGTATTACAAAGGAGGACACTATAGTTAAGGCTTTGGGCACTGGTTGGTCTATAAATATTATATAGTATAAATAGTAACCAGTATTCATGTATGTACCTCAATATTACGAAAACGGCTGTTTGTTGCCAAAATAAATGAGAAAAAAAAGAGCAAGACTCAACAGGCAACAAAATGGCGGACGAGTTTAAAACGCATATGCCACCAAAACAAAGGGACGACATGTTAAAAAAAAGTCTATAAAATATGAAACAAAAAAAAACGGAGTGGATACATTATCATACCAGCATTCTCTGAAGCTGCGCCACTGACTGGTTCGCGACAGGTGTTCCGTTGATCTCTCTGATTTCATCACCGACATGGAGAGTGGCTTGCCGGTGTATCATGCCCCCATGCATGATGCGAGCCACGATACATCGGCCGTCATCAGCTAGTTTCAGTGTGATGCCCTGCAAGAACAAACAAATGATAAAGCGTTAGTAAATATTCTAGAACCTACTTATTTTGATATCCATAAAAGGACGTTGCGACTTACAGTTGAGGAGGTAGGTATGTCCGGTAGTAGAAGTCATATTCATACTTTGATGTTTTATAGTTATAGTATAATACGTCGTTATATCCCAATAATTATAATCGATACTATCCCATATGACGATGTTAAAAAAAAAAACGAGTTGTTAACGGAAGCTAGTATGGTACGATCGAGAGCAATCGACAACTCACCCCAGCTTCCGTTAACACACTGAGCCCTGGCGAGCTGTCTAGGATGCCTAGGTATCAAAATCAATAAATAATGAAACTGCACTCCGCAGACGCAGTGTCCTGTCCAATGATTCGTTGCAATCCAGGCAGACGCATCTGCCTGGACCATTCAAATGAGCGGAGCTATAAATCTTCTCCCAGGACAATGAAGTATTGATTTTATCACGATGTTTACACGAACTAATGATATAGTATACAGCGAATTAGTAAAAATAATCGTGTACCAAAACAAATATTTGGCACTAAGTGCCTATTTGATAAATTTTCTTTTTTCTCATATATTTAACTATTTTGTTTTGCCTTAATTACAACAACATAGTTATATGTTATTGTTACTTTTCTTAAATATAAATCATTTGTGAATAAAACGTTGAGTTGCTGAAACAGAATTTATTTTGAGGTACATTAAGTAAATTGAGGCAAAAAAATAATAAAAAGTAAATGCTCTAAGTCTTGTTATATTTACAAAAATTTAAAGTAGAAAAATGCACTGAAGAAAATTAAATACACCACGCAGGAGATTTAATTTATGGTGCATTTTCACAAATACCTATATAATGCCATCATCGTTATTAAAAAAAAGGCAAACGTGAGTGTCTTGGAATACTCGGTTGGAACGAATTTAGAAAATAAACATAAGTAATAATAACATAAAAAATAGTACACACAGTACGCGACGCAACAGCTGACAGGCAAGACAAAAAATCATTATATTTCACATAGCCTTAGTCCGCGTGATAAAGAACTTTGTTTCAAAAACCTTTTTTTTTTGGGAAAATGGGTACTTTAATACAGCCCTTAAAGATATCTTACTCCAAGCCTTTTTTGTCCATACAGATAACTTAACTATGTAATAAGTGCCTACCTAATTAAGTCATCCGTAACTATTAGAAAATTAAACCTCTTTTTTATTTCTTTGACCGGGTAGGAAAGTTTGCAACAAGTCTTTAGTAAAAAGGTGTTTTCAAGATTTACAAAGTTTAATTAATACCTTTGATTATTGAGTAAATGATCAAAGTTAATTATATAACTTTAATCTATACGTCAGTGACTGTGATAGACTTCAATGTTGCAAACAATAAGGTACAATTTGTGGTTTGAATTATTTTTTGTATTAATTTTTTTATATCCTGCCAGATGTTACTTAAGTCTCTGATAATATAATACGTACTTTTTACTAGAAAAATAGAGAGGAACTCGTTAAATTTGGCGAAATAAGAATCTCATGCGTTGGATATTGCATTTGGAACTACCAGGATGAACCTAAAGTTCGTCGCAGGCACGCAACAAGTTTCCGCGACATTACAAATTCTTCAGCTGTTGAATAGATGGCGCTACAAAGCCAACGCCATCTGTCGGCTACTCAACGAATTGATAGTTCCAGTTCTAGTAGCATCACGATAGTCATAAACGAGTCGTTTACAAAGACTTGACAATATTAAACCATTTAATATCTGGTAGTATAAAAAAAATAACGCTTCAGATTTTTTTTCTACTTTTTTACAGGTAAGACCTTTTGCTCTACGATGTCGCTATTGTGTTTTGATTCAGTACATTTTCCCTACCATTGGAACTGCTGTTAAAATTACAATTGAACCAACCAAGATTTTGTGGTCGTTTTATGACATTGACAGGGGGCGCTGGTGGTGAAATAAGCATAAAACAGGAACGTAAAATCTTTACAACTAAGGGGAAGTTATTGTAAGGACCAATGCGTAAACCTTCTTACATTTAATAGAAAATTATTATTGATACTGATAGGTTAGAACGATTGGGTGACGATAAATAAAAACGTCCCGTTAGAGTGCTAAATTGTCACTGATTTATTTAATATAGATAATTAAACATGATTATTGTAGAAATTGCACGTTGAGAAACAGAGACAGAGGCGGGGTGCGACCTTAAAATTATGTAGACATAAACAAAAACCTATGTACGATCGGTAACTCGTACAGTTATAATTTGCAATAACTCGGAAATTGTAATAGGAAATACAACGTCTTCCTGTATAAAAATGATTATTTTTACATTTCTAAAATTCTAGTTCCGAATTCAGTAACGCGCCACAAGATCTTGGAAGCACTGTTTAAATAGAAAATTTTGGTGAGTTTTCAAGTAGGTACAGTGCCTTTTAGGAAAGGAGATGGCGTATCACCGTTGATTAATTTGTAAGACCGCACTTTAAAAACCTTTCAGTGAAAATGATACTTTAAATGTCTGTTTGAGAATCCAAAAGTATAATTTTAAGTGAGCTTCCTATTTAGAATATAAAAGTGACATCAGACTACGTTAAGCGCTTATTCCACCTGACTAAATTCAGACGTCCTAGTTAGGATCCTAAAAAAGAAGGCTAATTAGAAGCTTCTGATTACACTTGACCAATTTAGTTACTGATTCAGTCAATTACAAGCGCGCGGCGAATTCAGTCGGACTTTTTCGTAATGGCTCCAGTCCTGTCAAAGCAACAAAAAATCTGTCTTCTCGTAGGCCTGGCCGTTGGCTCAATAAAAATAAAATAAAGTAAAAAACGAAAAACGTGGGTAAAAGAATATTAATATTATTTTTATAGTTTTTGTTCCAAAGATACGGCATATGTTTATTCAATTGGATTATGTTACTCATAACTTCTTTTTCTTTTACCGCCGACATCGCACACTCGCGTAATTCGTAATCGTAGACTGTAGACACAACACGTCCTCACGCAGTGACACCTGCGGTGCGACCAGTGTTGCCAGGTCCGATTTTCAAAAATCGGGAGGCGTTATAGAAAAAAACTGTAGATGTATGGAAACAAAAACAGTAGATGCAGAGGTGTACTTTTTCCGGTTTGCACCCCCCCCCCCCCCCTAGAATTGGTAAATCAAAAAGCTATTTTTTCTTTAGACAATTACATTTATTTTATAATTATCAAGTTTATCTACATTATTAATGACAAAAAATGCAACTCAACATGCAATTTAAAAAAGAAAATCGTATTCTAAAAAAACAGGAGATTCATGTAGAAAAACAGTAGAACAGGAGAAATTTCAGAAAAACAGGAGATCTCCTGTAAAATCTGGAGACCTGGCAACACTGGGTGCGACTGAAGCATCTAAACGCTATTACACCTTCCTAAATCGCGTTCTAATTAGGATACTAAATGATTTAGTCAGTCAGAAGCCACACTTCTCCCGATTTAGGATGCTAATTAGGATCCTAACTTCCTAAATGCTATTTCACTTGACTGAATTAGTTACTGAATGATTTAGAACGTCTGAATTTAGACAGGTGGAATAAGAACTTTAAACTGTTGCACTATAGTATAGCGATTATAGCAAGACCATACAATAACGTGTAAACGTGTTCTATGACAATGTATGATGCGTAATATCGTACTATACTACTACTAGTTATTTGACGACCTCCGTGGCCGAGTGGTTTGTACGCCGGGTTTCATGGTGTCGCTGACTCAAGAGGTCCCTGGTTCGAGTCCTGGTGGGGGCAGATGTTTGTGTGATAAATACGAGCATTTGTACTCCAGTCATGGATGTTTAATATGTATTTCTACATAAATATACTTATATATGTATCAGTATATGTATCCATCCATTACTCTAGTATCCCATAACACAAGCCTTACAGTGCTTACTTTGGGGCTAGGCTAATTGGTGTGAATGTTGGAAATATTATTATTATGTATAAGCTATGATGCTGCATAGTATATAGTCTGAAAGAGTCTTTTTGTTGCAAGTAGCTTGTTTAGAACTTATCTTATCGATTGTGTATAGCGAGGCGAATGGCTTGGACTGATGGGTTTCGAGTAATTTAGCAGAAGCACACTTACCATTGGCTCGTCGGTATTCTTCTGGAACTGCACGAGGCGCACCCTGGTCACGTTCTCGAACTCTGGTTCAGTGTCATCGTCTTCCTCCGGCGGAGGGGCTGTCGTGCGTCCGTTGACTGGCGGCGGGGAGGCGCGCAAAGACTCCTCCCCATACACCTCCCGGGCGACCACATCGTGTGCCTGCAGCAGGGCCTGAAACAAAAGAATGACGACTTTCAAGCGATTCATCTTGACATTTCAGCTTTCCAAAGTAAAAGAGTGTAACTATCATGGCCACTAGCTTAATGTTAGTAATTTACTTAATTAGCGGGATTGCTACAATATACGACGACCTCCGTGGTCGAGTGGTTTGTAAGCCGGGTTTCAAGGTGTCGCCTACTCGAGAGGCCCCGTCCCGAGGTACGAATCCCGCTGGGGGCAGATGTTTGTGTGATGAATACGAGCATTTGTACTCCAGTCATGGATGTTTAATATGTATTTCTATATAAAAATGCTTATACTTATACATAGTATATGTATTCTATCCGTAACCCTATCATCCCATAACACAAGCCTACAGTGCTTACTTTGGGGCTAGGCTAACTGGTGTGAGTGTTGGAAATATTTTTTTTATACATGGTGTAAACATCGGAGACATCATGACGCAAAAAGCAAGGTAGCAATCATATAAATAGCATCAAATGTCTTGAACAAAACCACAGACAAATAAACTTACGCAGTAAACATTTTTGGCTTCCTTGTATGTGGTCGTTGCTCAAAAGTTTTCCGGGTTGTAAACATAACTAAGCCCGATAACTACGTAAGCCAATTACAGAAAAAGAACAGTGTTCACATGTTTCAAAATCAGAAAAGAGGTCTCTGAGAATGGGGTTTAGGTCGTCAGATGAGGTGGGGTCGAGTCACTACTTCATCAGATGTACTTGTAACTGGATCAAAGTTACATTTAACATAATAAGGCTACAAAATTACTGAAATTTGTTAAGCTTTAAAAATAGGTGCACGACTATATTTATAATAATTTCAAATAAAAAAGAATGACTGAAATTCTAATTAAAATAATCGTAAGTTGAAAGCTCAAACGACAACTCAATCGATACTATAAGAAAAATCTAAATTATTGTCACTTTATGGTAAAATGATCGATACGAAAAGCGATTTTCTATAGTATCGACATCGAGATAATTCCTGTCCCACATCTTATGAAAATTCAATTTATTCTCCTCGGACTGCGGACTGCGGCCAATGTGAATGTTTTGCTCCAGCGATCCGGTGATCCCCTTTCATTTTTCGCCCGACTGCTTTTGGCATAC